GAAAAGAGCAAGGTAAATAATTTTGTTTGGATTAGTTACTGCGACTACATATTTTATATTAGTATTAATGTCGAACATTAAACAATGTTAGCTAAATCAATCGATGCCCTAAGTTTAATCAAGTGACGCATACTTCAATCAATCAATCGTTTGTAGAAACAACGTGCTCGCCCCCCAAAATGGCAATTGTCGATAAAAATGTGTATGTATATGGATATGCTATTAATATAAAACCATGCATTCAATATACATATACTCTCATATATAAAATACATATCAAAATAAACAGACACTCACATATACACATACAGATATATAAGCAGATATGTGTGTGTATTTATAGTATATGCAGACACACCCCATATCGTTAAAATAGAGAAAACATATACACCACGTCTGTCGGGCGCTACGTCTCTATAAATGCCATTGAAATCCCATCAGAGCAAACCGAATCCAAGCCCAAACCCGAGACCCAAACCTAAAACCCGAGCAGAGCATAGCAGCTCCAGCCCCCTTAAATAAACAGTCTTACGGTAGCGCTTTGGTTTGGGGCAAAAAACACAGCCAAAAGGGCCCAACAGTAGCAGAAGTAAAACCAACAACAACTACAACAGCAGCAGCAGCTAAAAACACCCCAAACATCGGCTAAACTTCGGGTTTTTCTCGTGCTGCTGACTGACTGACTAACCCAACACACGCGACTGTCTGACAGACAGACGAACAGACTCTTGCTGTTCTTGTTGTCTTTGCTTTGCTTTGCACATCGTTGCGCTAGCAGCGACGTCAGCGTCGACGTCAAGAGGTATTCTCTGCCCGTCCTTGCCTGGCATTCCTCGTCTCCCCCCTCCCATTCCCTGGCTGACTGGCTGGTTTTTGGTTTGGCCTGGGCTTGTTTTGGGATTAAATATTTCCTATAGATGGGAAAAACGAGTCGGTCGGGTCGGTCGTCGAGTCGCGCGCTGCCTGGCAATGCTAGCGATGTTGGCGATGTTGGTTGTCGCTAGTTTCGTATATTTCACTTTGTGCTGAACGTTCGTCCGAAGCGGTTCTCACAGCGCGACAAAGCAGCAGAAATCGTTTTTCTCGTATGATTCCACTCCGTTCTGTGGCTTTGCTTTAGTTCTACGATTTTTATATATATAATTATATATATATACTTGATTTTGGTATAAAATTTAAAGCGCGCGCAACTCTTTTAGCAAGTGAGGTTTCTTTGAGGAAACTCGCGTGCTTTTTGGATAAGTGAGTACCACTGTGCCTGTGTGCCAATGTGTAATGTGTTCTCCGATGTAAACAAACGGGGTCTTGAGATTCTGCCGCTGCCTCGGCCGCTATTGTTGTTGTTCTCTGTGTGTGTGTGCAATTAAAAAAAAAGCGGCGCGGCGTGGCGCGACGTCGCTGTCGCTGCGCTGCCATCGGCATTTGCATGGCACACGAGCAGGCGCCAGCAGCAAGTGTCCGTTATTTAAAAATGTGCCCCGCGTCTGTTTGTTTGTTTTTGTTTGACTTTTACTGTTAGACGTTGGCGAGACGGCAGCGACGTCGACTGCGTTGTGTTTTGGTTTTTTTTGGGGGGCCCGTTGGTTTTGTTTTGCTTTATACTTTCTTTTGGCTTTTCGCGCTTCTGTTTTGATGCGCCTTCGTACGTGCATCAGTATCAGTGATAACGGGACATTGACTCTGCTTAAAACTTGTAGCTGATAAGAAACAGTGTTGCAAGTGGAACAATTAAATGAAACAGTGTTTAATAAAATTCGGTTTCTTAATTGAATGCAATACAATTATGCATCAATTGTAAACACTGCCACAGGTGATTCATGTTCGAAAATCAATAAGATATGCATACAAAAAAGGACATTAAATATTAAAATGTTACATCAGCTGCGACTGATGCTCAATCAAGAATAAGTGCTCATGGTAACGAAGTTTATAGCCATCAATATATTATATATCTATAATATAATAAATATCTACACTCGCAAATATATATATGTACACACTCTTTTAAATAGTTATATTCATGGACTAGTTTCACACACACACATGTAAGCAAACGCAATTCAATGGAATCATAAAAAAAGGTCACATCCGAGTCACCTTGAACTACCGTTGATACACAAGAGAACAAGACACGAATACGAATTGAATATGGTCTTAACTTAAGTGTACAACTACCTAAGCATGACCAAAATCAATCCAATCAAAAATACCTGTTAAGAAAAATACAGAAACTGAATTTGGGTATTTAGAATGTTGAATAGTTAAGAGTACTTTGGCAGTAGGTATACAAATATAAGAAGTACTTAAACAATGGGCAAAAGATACAACGATATCCGAGATACCAAAAAGAGATACGTTGCACGTAGCACAAAAGGAAAGAACTGAGTCTGAGGCTGCCATCTCATCATAATCATCATGATGATAATGATAATGATGACGCTGCACGAATATTTCACGAAGTTCCAACAATCCCCAATCGGCAGCCAAGCAGCAAGTAAAGTAAAGTAGGCAACCATTATTTAGGGTGAGTAGAAGAAGGAGGACTTAGGGCGCGGAAGAGGGACGACGTCTCGAGGCGATTAAGATAAAGTGCCAATCGATATATACACATACATATATAAATATATATAAGGGAAAGAACGGCAGGCAAGTAGAGGCAGCAGTAGATGAGATGAGCTGAACTGAACTGAGGATAAAGCAGAGACAGTGGCTGAGACGGTGGCTGCGACAGAGGCAGAGGCAGACGCAGCAGCCAAAGCAGAGCAAGTTTTATACTGTAAGTAGTACATCAGAGGAAGGAAAAACAGTCGCAGCGACAGCTCGAGAGAGCTACACACAGTGCAGAGTATATATACATATATATATATATATATAGAAGACGACATAAAAGGAAATATAAAACCATTTATAAAGCAAGTCAGTCAGGGGAGATTTGAATTGGAATTGATGATGCTGTACTTGCACTCGACTCTTACAAGTATGCGTGTGTGCGTGTATGTGTGTGTGTCGGTGTGTGTGTCCAAATACGAAGCATAGACGAAGCTGAGCTGCGCTTGCTTCGACTCATTTCGTTTTGTGTCAAGGTGCGCTGTGAGTTGTGGCAAAAGTATTCTTGAAGACGCCTTGTGGAAGGGTTCTCTGCTTTCTGCCCCTTTTTTGTTGTTGTTGTATTTTGGGCTAGGAAACTTTTGGCTGCCAAACCAAAAAGTTTCCGGCATTCGGAAAAGTTTGATGCCGTAGGCGAAACCTGAAAACAGCTGCCAAACACTGAACAACCCCTAAGTCAAACGACGGAAAAGATAAAACCCAATTCCGTAAATCCAAAAATAAATGGAGTGAGGGGTGGACATAACCAAAAATGAGACACGGAAACCCAATTTGAATAACAAAAATGATTGCAACCGATAAAAACTAAATCGTCTTAGAAAGGCAATCAAAAATGACCGGTGACTCAGTCAGGTGGGTTCTAATCGTAGTTACACTCAGCGAAAAAAGCTGGCTGTAAATTCGTGCTCAGATGGGCACTTAAGATATCAACTAAATATCGACCTTATCTATTCCAAGTTAGAATGCTCGAGTCGACAGGTCTCGACTAGTAGATACCCTGTTAAGCACGTGGTAGGTTTGCTGATTTTAGTTTTTTTCAATATGGATATAGCTAAATCTAGGAGTTCAGATTATAACTATCCATTTTTCTCCAAGTGTACACACACACACATATATATGTGTATAGCAGAGTCAGCAGCAGTATTACAGTATTACCCTTGAATCTTGGGCAGGAGGCAAAGTCGCTCACTTTAGACATTTGCTGCTGCTGTTGCCTAGCAGCAAAGGCGATACATCATTGTATTTGTATCTTTAGCTATAGTAAACGTATATATACGAGTGTGTTTGTGTGTGTGTGTGTGTGCGTGTTAACTCTCAGATATGGGAATGGTCGCTTGGTGGCACCCATAATGGAGCGTTCGACGTCCGACTGGTTCTGGTTTTATTTTATTTTTTTGTTGTTTTGGGGAGGGGAAGTGCTGCGGAGCTGCGGACTTGGATGGGGACTAGAAAACGTATCGATTTCTGAAGGCGTACGCATCGTTCGAGCATTGCTCGAGCAGCGGCTTCAAATTTATCAACAGTCTTATAAGTGTATGTGTGTGTAAGTGTAAGTGTGTGTGTGCGTGTGTTTATATATTTGTGAGATGTTTTTATAGCTCGTATCGCTATAATTTAGCAGGGCATGCCGCTGTCGTATTGCCTTTGTATATTCAAACTTTCTGAAGTATCCACGATGTGTATGCGTATGTGTGTGTGTGTGTGTGTGTGCATATGGAATTTTCCTAAAAACCCGAAACACACACAGCGAAGTCACAGCTATTATAAATATACAGATGCAGCTGATAAATATTATAATAATGCGTCATGTGCTGAGGACCGCAATTGGAATTTGTATCTTTTTACTTTAGTTTGGTTTTACTCATCCATTTCATTTGAATTGCGGGTGCTTTTTGTCCTTAGGGTTTTTTTTTATTGTTACTGTAATTTTAAGCTGAGTCATTTGCTATGCTTATTTTACGCAAAAGTCCGCGAATCGATTTGTAATCGATTTCTTAATTGATTTTTTAAGTTTAAATATATAACATACAAATATTTATAGAAGTACATATAAATATTTTGCTTTATTAGCAGCGAGCAGCTAATCTTCTTACTTCAATCACATTATTGCTCCCTTGATTTATGGGAACGTGTTCCGAGCAGAAACTTTTTCTAGTTTTTGATGCTGATTAAGCAACAAAAAGAAACCCGAACTTTTGTCAAACAACTTTTTATTCTCGAAAGTTTTATAAACTAAAACTGTTTCTGGCATCTCAGCTTCAACTTGATTGTTCTCCTTGGCAATTGGTAGTCGTTTTTTTTTTAGAGTTTCTCATTTGTGACTATGTGTTAAAGTTAAACATAACTAATAATATTTACTTTTTGATCCCTTCTATCTTTGCAGTTGCCGATTTTTTTTTATTTATTTATGTTCTAATTGGTATTTGGCGGGCATTTTGTGCAACGCCAAAAACGACGATATTTGCAAAATTCGTGGCGCCAATAATATAAACGTTATGCCGACTATACGGCGCTGTTGCATCATCGGATGCCTCTCGAATTCGCGGCAACATCCGAGCATGCAGTTCTTCGCTTTCCCCCGACCCGACTCCCCGTTCCACAAGCTGTGGAAGGAGGCGTGCCACGCCTCGCTGCGACGCATCATTCCCTTCAAGAAACCGGTGGTTTGTGCCCTGCACTTTGATCCCAGTGTGCTGGGTGGACGACGACTCCAATCGAATGCGTTGCCCACACTGCGACTGGAGGTGCCCTCAAATCTGGAGGCGGTGGAGCAACAGGCGATGGTCGAGGAGATCGAACGGAGCAGGAAGTGTGCGTACATCAATGCTGTGGTCTACGAGTGGCTGGTGCGGGCGAATATCAATCCACAGCTGCGTGGCAGCATCACGCATGGCATGATCAAGGATAAGGCGGAGACGGCACGGCAGGTCATCGGCAGCACCTCGTTCATAGCGGACAATCGCTGGCTGAATCGGTTTCGGGAAACACATCTGCAGGGATTCGCACAGAAGTTGGCCACCAATCAGTTGAAGTCGATGGGCACATCGCTGTGGATACCGGATATTGTGCAGGATTTGCAGAATCTGTTTCCGCCAGCTAGTGCGGAGCGTGTGGCGAAGCTGGAGGAGATGCCCGAACAGTATATGAACTATATGCAACAGTATGGTGAATACGAGGAGGATGACGACAGCATGGACGTCAAGGAGCAGAGCTACCAGGAGCAGCAGCAGCAGCAACACTACGCACTCCAGCAACAACATCTCCAGCAGCAGCAACAACAGCAGCAGCAGCAGCACCAATTGAATCCCGCCTGGCCACCATTTGCCGGCCATCCACATGCTCATCCGCATGGACATGCTCATCCCCATCCCGGCTTCAATAGTTTCAATGACTTCTACTTTGAACGACATCAGCAACAGTTGCAGCAACAACTCCAGCAACAACAGCTGCAGGCCCAGTTTCCACCAGATGCGGGAGCAGGCGCAGGTGCACTGAGTCCAGCGCAGGCACAACGTGAACCCTTCCAGCCACAGCTGCCACCGAATCAGTCGCAACAACAGCAGCGCCTCAGTCCGTTTCAGCCCGTGCAGCTGGCCAAGCGACCCAAAGTGGAATCCCCCGCCGGCCATGATGATGAAGTGCAGGAGATCAATGCCTCAGCTCGCGAATCACCTCTGCCCCTCGCTGAATCCACAGTACAAGGCGCTCGCAGTCCGAGTGCCAAGGAGCAAAATAACAATGGTGGACGGGACAGTGCCAGCAGCAAGGAGAATGCCCACAAAATCAATCCGGACAGCAGCAGCGGCAAATCGACGCCGCATTCGATGCACTCGCTCAAGGGCAGCAGTTCGCCGGCGCCCGCTTCCACATCAACATCCGCACCAGCCTCACCCAAGAAGCTCGTCATCAACGGCGGCAGCAGCAGTTCCGGCAGTCAAACAAATGGACACACTTCACCCGAACCCCCAACCGATTCCAAAGCTTTAACCAATGTGCTCAAGGAACTGGATAGCTACACCCAGGCACTGGAGTATTTGAAACCTCTGGAGGATTTTGTGCTCTTCAAAGAGAACTTTCGGGCCATTGGCCTGCTCTCCCAACTGGAACTGGTGCTGCGCAAGGGCGACAAATCGACCCTTATCGAGGGTTAATTAACTCTGACACAACTTAAACACAAATGTGATGAACAGTGTACATATGTATACATAACTACTATATTCTATATATATATATATATATATATAGTCTATATGTAATATAGCCAAGTACTGTAATAGTATTATTAATTTTGTCTTTCCATCATTTGCATTAAGTAACTAATTCATTTGGGCAGACCGAATCTGTGGCCATTCAATAAGTTGAAAATAAAATTCATTAATTTATTTTAAAACCAAGAAATTTGTATGTCTTTGTTAAGCTGAAGCTAAAATATCCTCAAAGACCTTGTGGAGCTTGAATATTATTTTTATTATTGGAAGAGTTTCATGTTTCGCGATCTATTAGATCTATTGTACTGTGAATTGAGCCTATATATGAATAGAACGGACCGATCTTGAGAGGAGTTTGCTTCACTCATAGTGGGATGTCCTCAAAGATTTTAAAGTTTACCAAACAAAAACTCGAAGCTTTTGCAGCAATATAATATGTGAATACACTTCGCTTAATCTGACTCAGTTGCTCACACTGATCAAGAATAATGCCTAATGTATTTCAAGACATATTTAAAACAACCTCCACCGGACTTGACGTTTTTTTCACTTTCGATTGCGAAATAACGGTATGTTCGAATTTCCAGTAGGTCTGGCAGCGCTATCAACAACTGTCACGTTTCACAACACTGCATGCGTTTCGCTGTGACTGGCATTCTTGCTGCTGAGTAAAGTGATAAACAAAACAAGCAGCAGCTAAATAAATAAGCGATTAAACATAAAAACAAGTGAAATTAAAAGACAGGCAACAAATGTCGCTGCTCGAGCAATACGAGCAGCAATATGCGGCGCTAATTGCTGAAATAACGGCACACATTGGACGCCTGCAACAGAATGCAAGTGAGTTTGTAAAAATGAAAAAAAAACATATGTGAATAATATCAAATTTTGTAATCCCCTTCAAGCCGAACGCAGCGAGTTGTGCAACAAAATCGATGCCAGTTTGGCAGAGGCACAAGAGCTGCTCGAACAGATGGGTTTGGAGGTGCGTGAATTGAATGCCACGCAACGCAGTAGTTTCAATGGCAAGTTGCAAGTGGCACAAGCGGAACTCAAACGCTTGCAGACGGAATACAAACAGACCAAGGACAAGTTGCGGGCACAGGTAACGGGGTATACCACACTCGATCTGGCTGGAGCTGGAGATTACTATGAGGATGTGTCGATTAGCAATGATCAGCGGCAACGTTTGCTGGACAACTCGGAGCGCATTGAACGCACCGGCAATCGGCTGACGGAAGGTTATCGTGTGGCACTCGAAACGGAGGCAATGGGCGCACAGGTCTTGAATGGTATTTGATAGCCAAGTCTCTTATATAGTTATGTTTGCTAATGTTTCATCCCTGGCAGATCTGCATCATCAGCGGGAGACGTTGCACGGCGCTCGCGCTCGCTTGAGGGAAACGAATGCGGAACTGGGACGCGCTTCTCGCACCCTCAACACAATGATGCTGCGCGCCCTGCGCGAGAAGGTCGTCCTCTATGGCGTCGGGGTCTGCTTTGTGGTCGCCGTCGGTGTCAGTCTATATCTGACATTTGCGCCCAGCTCATCCGCGGCCACCTCATAGTTGGCTCTAGTTATTAACTAGGAGATTGCATTCCAATGTTGAGTTAGTTTTGTTTAAATATTTATTTGTTGTTAGCATTAGCTTCAATTTGCGTGTTAATGTTTTATGCATGTATGTAATATACATATATAATTATATATATATATGTATATATGTGTGTGGGTATTGAAATCGACTAAAATCCTTAATTTTACTATGACTTATTATGCACCTCGAAGTGTGCTAATATATATTCAGAATCGTACGTGTTCCGTTGGCGCACATTAACTATATACTATACATATATATCATAATTAATACATATTCGGACGTTTTTAGCATTAAATTCGAATCGCATATTTACAAATAATAAATAATTAACCAAAAAAGTATATTTAAAAAAATGCAAAATTTAGAAAAGCGATTTTCATTTTTTGTTTTTGTTCAGTTGTCGCTGGGAAATCTAAATTGGTATGGAAGAATTTCCCTTTGCTGGTGTGAAAGTCAACTAATTCTTTAATGCAAGTTGTTAATATGCTTAAATAGAAATAAAACGATGTTAAAGATAAATGTTAAACAGTTCTTCAAAGTTGCTAATTTAAAGGATAAAAAGTTATGTTTTGTTTTATATTACAGTTTCGAAAATCCATTTAAAAAAGCTACAATTTCAATTTTGTTAAACATTGCACCTTTAAAAAACGCAACACTCTAAAATTATTGCTTAAAATCTGTTTTTTAATTTAAGCATATTGAATTGCACTTTTAAAATAGCAAATTGAGATACTTGCATACCCTTTTCTAGTCATAACTGCTTGCAATAAATCAAAGCCAAATGAAATAAATGCATTTCTGCATTCCATTGAGGTTGGCATTTAGTATTAGCCAAACTCAATGTTCCCCAATTGCTAGCAGCTGCAAGCGGAGGCTTCCTCGTTCAGCTCCGGTTCGTTGGCCTTGTCGATTTGAAAGGATTGCCTTTCCAGTTCCTGTAGCTCCATTTTGGAACGATTTGCCTGCACCAGTTGCCGCGAGATGTCCTGAAACATTGCCTCGATGCCGTTGCCCGTGCGACAGGATGTTTTGTAGGTGGCACTAATCAGTGAATGGCATTGTTCACAGAATGCTTCGACTTCCTCATCGCTGACCTCCGGCTCCCGACCCTCGAGATCGCTCTTGTTGCCACAGATGAAAATTTTGGCATTCTCCGCATAGGTGACAATGTCCAGCAAGTGTTGTGACAATGAATGAAACGATGCCGCATTATCCAAGGCAAATACGAGTATGGCACCTTCGGCAAATTTGTAATAGGATGAGGTGACCGATGCCACACGCTCCATGCCACCAGTGTCCCACAGTTGCAGCTGCCACAAAATAACAATTTGATTATAAAATTAACTACTCATCTAACCTTAACTATCAGACGCACCTTAATCTGTTTCTCGCCCACATTGTACTCCCTGTCGATGTGATCCAATCCCAGTGTGGATTTGCGGTCTGTCTCTGTGATGAATGTGTTGTTCGTAAATCGTCGGAACAGGGAACTCTTTCCCACTCCATAATCGCCACAGAGTATAACCTTTTGCTTGGGTATGCGTACCGTTGCCATCTTTAATTAATTGGCGTTAAGTAATTTAATTTAATTCAATTAATTCCCAGACACAAAGAAAACTAACAGCACACAATGTAAACAGCTGTTATCTCAATGATGCCACCAAGTCGTTCATAATATCGATATCGATAACTAGATAAGAGTAGTCAAACGTGCAGCTAAATCGAATTTGTCATTTATAGAAATGTATTCCAATTTGAGTAAAATCCTCTGCATTACTAGGAATTTGCTTTATAGAGGGCACCAATTGGATCATAATTAATGGACACAAAAAGCAGACTTGTTAACAATTAAACGAATAATGCGGCAAAAAACAAGCGAGAACACGTCCAAGTTTATATAATCTTAATTGCCGCATTCTAAATTTCAATATAAATTTGAAATTTGTTACATACTATTGCACAACTTTCTTTTACTCTTCCCATTCTTATGTTGAGGGCATAATTTATAATATACTTTTAGCAATTAAAAAATAAATAAAAAAAAAGGGAAATGTTTTTCAAACTAATGTAACAACGCACAAACCAAAATTACAGTTAAGAAGATGTTGCCGGCAAGTCTTGCAATCGATAACATGAAATTGATGACGATAACGTTTCAATCATGGTAGTTAAGAGTGCACCAATTTTGAACGTATTACTTTAAGATAAGATAAGCAAACCCGTTAAAACCATGTTGAGCAAGTTGGCAGCAGCCAAAGTGAAATTGACTGTTGGCTTTAACGGAGAATGGAAATATTAAATCGCTCGCTGGCAATATTATTGCTATGCTTTGTAGCCTTGGCACATGGCAAGTGAAAATAGCTATAAATCAAAATATAAATCTAAAAAATCTTATCTAAATGCAGGCAAGCCCGGCTACGGACCCGGTGAACAGGATTGGGGCTACGTGGATGTCCGTCCAGGCGCTCACATGTTCTACTGGCTGTATTACACCACAGCCGATGTGGCCAGCTACAAGGAACGTCCTTTGGTCATCTGGCTACAGGGTGGACCGGGTGCCTCATCCACGGGATATGGCAACTTTGAGGAGCTGGGCCCAGTAGATTTGTATGGCGATAATCGCAATTGGACTTGGGTGAAGGACATGAATGTGCTCTTCATTGACAACCCGGTGGGCAGTGGTTACAGCTACGTGGACACTGCTGCTTATTATACGGCAACAAACAAGGAGATTTCCTTGGATCTGGTGGAACTAATGAAAGGTTTCTATGCAAAGCATCCAGAATTTGAAACTGTTCCACTGCACATCTTCTGCGAGAGTTATGGCGGCAAAATGGCACCCGAGTTCGCCCTGGAACTATACTATGCCAAGGAACGAGGTGAGATTAAGAGTAACTTGCAATCGGTGGCCTTGGGTGATCCCTGGACATCGCCCATTGACTCAGTTCTGGCTTGGGGTCCGTTTCTGCTGGAAATGGGCATTGTGGATCACGATGGCTACGATGAGATTATGAAGGCAGCCAACCTAACTGCTGAGTTAGTGGAAGCTGAACGTTGGATACAGTCCACCGCTCAGTGGGGCATGACCCAGATGGAGGTAATGAAGGCCTCCAAGGGAGTCGATTTTTACAATGTGCTGAAGCAGACGCGCGGAGATCGGTTCTCCAGGCAGCTGTTGCAGACACCCGAGGGTGAGTTTACAAGGTGTTTCCGATTGTAAAAGATAATCTATAGTAATGAGGATGTTGTAGAGCGAATATACCGCACTATGGTCAAGTTCGATATCGACGAGGATCGTGATCAGCTGCTAGAGAATCTGATGCGTGGACCTGTCGCTGAAACCTTGGGCATACCACTCAATGTCAAATGGGGTTCGCAGAGTGGCAGCACCTTTGATGTACATCGGACGGACTTTATGAAGCCCGTAATACATATTGGTAAGATCTAGAGTCTCGAATGAGATTCGAGTAGCTAATCGAGTAGTAAATCCATCCCATTATAGTAAATGAGCTGCTGGATAAGACACCGCTGAAAGTTGGCGTCTTCTCGGGTGGCTTGGATCTGATCTGTGCCACACCCGGCACCGTCAACTGGATTGACAAGTTGAACTGGAGCAAAAGAGACGAGTATTTGGCTGCAAAACGCATTGCAATCAGTGTCGATCGCATTCTGGAGGGTTATCAAAAGTCAGGCGGCAACTTTAACATGTACTGGATCAATAGATCGGGTCACATGGCGCCCGCCGATAATCCAGCTGCCATTGGTCATGTCCTGCGTGAATTTACTGGCTTTGGCTAGAGTGAAAATGCAATATAAATATAAATAAAAATGAAAGAAAAAACCGATAAGCGAACACAATCGCGACATTTAGTTATGAACTAGCTTAGTGGCTCCATCTGAAATTTATGAAAGTGATAAGTTAAGTAGTGATATCAAAATTCAAAATAAGATGGCCTCAACTGGTCACGCGTAGGCCCATCACTCTCGTTAAGACCAGCGATCTTAACTATCTATGCACATAAATAGCTACCGACTCCCACTCGAAAGATTAGAAATTCTTTACTTGCCGTGTGCGAATTGAACAAATTGATCAGACGGTCGCAACACCTTCAAGTGTACGGTCTACTTGGAGTCTACCTTCGGGAGTTTTTTTTCTATATAGTTTGTGGCAACTAGAGTGCAGAGAATGAGTCGACTTTTAATCAGCTTTGCGCTGCTGACTTTTGTGGCATTTTGCGGCTTTGCCGCTGTGAATGGTGAGTATGAAAACTGTGGCAAAAAAATGACCTCAATTTTATAGACTACCAACTGTGATGTGTGTGTGTTGTTTGGGCCAAGAAATAAGTGCCACTTTATATGCCAATCAAGTGTTAATGATAGCAAATTAGTTGCACAACAATAGATGCTATTTACCACAGTTAGAGTGAGTGTTCGAGTCTAATATACTTCACTACTCAGACTTTTCGAAAATGCTTTGCAAAGCGTGTTTTATCAATTCAATAAATAATTAAATGTAACATTATTCCCAAATAATCATTAATATAAAATAGTACTTTAAAATTAAAGTCATTCTAAATAGCTGTTCGTAAAGATTGTCCCTTATCCAATTATCTGTAGTTTGTCAAATTCAAAATCTAAATTTCTGTCAGTGTATTGAAATAGTATAATATAATTCCTTAATTATACCTTTTGAAATTACTTTGTAAAACGTGTTTTATCAATTCCACAAAACATTAAACTTAAAATAATTTACAAACAATCATTAACGAAATAAATCTTAAAGCAATTTTAACCATTCTACATTCTTATTAGTACAGATTGTAACTTAAGCAAAGAAGTCTAATAGGCTAATACAATTTCGACAGTGTCGACATTTTTGCTATCCAACAGTTATCTTATCAGACATGCTAACATCAATACTTATATATATAGATAGGTTTACTGATGCGAAGTCTATTTTCTTCAGAAATCTTTGCAAATATCTGCTTAATTAAAACTCAAGTGGTTTATTTTCAAGTGGGAGAATAAAAAATATTAAAAAATATATTCACAGCACGCACTGGTTACGGACCCGGGGAACAGGATTGGGGCTTTGTGGATGTGCGGAAGGGTGCTCATATGTTCTACTGGCTCTACTATACAACTGCCAATGTGTCCAGCTATGTGGATCGTCCGTTGGCCATTTGGTTGCAGGGTGGACCGGGTGCCTCCTCCACAGGATATGGTAATTTCGAGGAGTTGGGTCCTTTGACACTGGAAGGCAAATACCGCGAATGGACTTGGGTGAAGGACATGAATGTTATATTCATTGACAATCCCGTGGGCTCGGGCTTCAGCTATGTGGATAGCTCGTCCGAATACACAACGACCAATAAGCAAATCGCCTTGGATCTCGTTGAGTTCATGAAGGGATTCTATGCAAATCATCCCGAATTCAAAACAGTTCCTCTGCACATATTCTGTGAGAGTTATGGCGGTAAAATGGCGCCCGAGTTTGCCCTGGAACTGTACTATGCCATCGAACGCAATGAGATTAAGAGTAATTTCGCATCGGTGGGTTTGGGTGATCCGTGGACCTCACCCATAGACTCAGTGATGGCCTGGGCACCATACCTGCTGCAACTGGGCATTGTGGATCAGAGTGGACACGATAAGATCGAGGCATCGGCACTGAAGACCAAGAAATATGTCGATCAAGGCAAATGGACACAGGCCACATTGCAATGGAGCTCCACACAATCGGTGGTGCTGCGCGAATCGAAGGGTGTCGATTTCTACAATGTGGAGACACCCACACGAGGTGATCAGTACCTGAGGCGATTGCTCCAAATGAGCCCGGAGGGTGAGTCTATTCCCAAGTCTCTATTGAGAATACGTTGGTAATGTCGATAACATCTCAGAGAGCATGTATCGCACCCTGGTCCAGTTTGACATCGATGAGAATCGTGACAAAATGCTGGAGGAGCTGATGCGGGGACCAGTTACAAAGGCTCTCAATATTACGACGGGCGTCAAGTGGGGCGCCCAAAGTAGCGCCACCTTCAACAAGCTGATGGGTGACTTTATGAAGCCAGCTGTTCACATTGGTAAGCAAAAAAATAATCGTAATCTTTCAAGAATAGCATTTGTATTCCATAAAATTTAAATTTGACAAGGAACAAAGACTAAAACTTATTATTACTTTTAACTCGCATTTCTGTCTAGTTGAGGAGTTGTTGAACAAAACCACGGTTGAAGTGGGCGTCTTTTCGGGTGGTTTGGATTTGATTTGTGCCACACCCGGTGCCGTTAATTGGATTGCCGATATGCAGTGGGTCGATAAGAAAAGCTATTTGGATACTCCTCGCAGGGGTATCAATGTGGATGGCGTATTGGAGGGTTACCAAAAGACAGCCGGCAATTTCAGCATGTTTTGGGTGAATCGAGCTGGTCACATGGTTCCCGCCGATAATCCCGCTGCCATGTCGCATATCCTGCGACAGTATACCAATTTCGGTTAGAGAAATTAATGAAAAGTGTTTTTCAAAATGAATAAAAATAAATGCGTCATTTTATTGGAAAGATTTGTTTATTTCCATTTTAAGCATGTTAAAGTTCTGCAAACAAATCGTTTCAATTTGAGGGAATTGCTTTTCAATTGGAAAACAAGGAGAGCAAAAAATGTTCTCATTGCGATCAAATTGTAAGCGAACCAAATTGAGTCATGTTGAAACTCAATTTTCGCACTGCTAACTGTAAAGTTCTCGCATGCGCAGTTCAAGAAGAGAGCAGCTCGTATGAAAAATAACAACCCTCTCGCTCTCTCTCAGCCTTTACCGACATTGTCTGACGTTGTCTCGCACACAAATAGATACACACACGCACACATGCACATGCTGCTACGCTCACGTACACACGTTAAAGTTGCGCGCTGCTTGGGCTTATCACCAGCTCTCCGCCGGCGCAGAAAAGCGCTCTCAATGCGCATTCGCGCTCACAGAACACAGAAAAAAAAAAAACAGAACTACACAGAATGAAAACGGCAGTCGCTGGCAGCGGGTGGGCAGCTATTTTTATACACATTACACCGCTGCTCTAGTCGGGAACAATTCAAAGGCAATCGCACACGTGTATACGGCTATTGCGAATTGTAAATAAAATAAAAATAAATAAAAAAAACAGAGTGTAAAAATCAAAAACAGCGCAATAGAAATTGAAAAGTAAAAAAACAAAAACAACGCAGAAAAAAACGGGCGACGTTTAGTTGCTGTCAACGCGCATAATCGTAGCCATCGCACACGGACAGCACACACACAGCCAGACAGTCTGTGTATATAACTGTGTCGTGTGTACGAGAGCTAGATTGAGAGGGATTGGGCAGAGCAGCATAGACAGAGTAAGTGAGCGCAACAGACAAAAACAATAATAAACAATAACGAAACATTTAATGCAACAGTAGATTTTACAGACTTCACAAACGTCATTTAAATACAAAGAAGAAGAAATTTACAGTTATGCGTGTGCGAGATAAACGTAAACAGCACAAGGAGCACAAATCGACGAAAAGCGGCGATAAAGAAAAGGTAAACAATTTTGTTCGACAAGTCGACAATGGAATACCCTACATTTATTGACTTTTTCCTCTGTGTGGCAGGCAACGGATGCCGCAGCAAAGCAAAGCACGCCAAATAAAACAACAAGTGGAACAACAACAACAACAACAACAACAGCTGTTGGCAGACAACCACATCAACCAACTTTGGCAGCAACGGAAAAAGTTGCCTTCGACAATCGCATCAAGCGCAAAAATGTTTTGGCTTTAAATGAGAAAGTGGCTGCTTTGAGGGAATACGATCGGCAGCCGGTCTACAAACATGTTGGTCGCTTGTTCAACTGCAGTCCGGATCAGATCAAGCGCATTGTGCTGCAGAAGAAGGAGATTCTGAGTGCGTGGGAGCAGAGGACACGTCGCTGCCAGGATGCCAAGACGCAGGAGTTCAAAGTGGTGCGTGTGTCCATGTTGGGCAAGGCGGTCTACGATTGGATTAGGCGCATGATGTACTACAAGGACTTCATCATCACCGACGGCCTAATCCAGAAGATGGCATTGCAGTTCAAGAATCTGATGGGTCTGAATCACTTCTTTCCGCATCAGGAGTGGTGCGACAAGTTTCGCTCCACCTACAGCATCCATCACAATGACACTAAGCTGTTAAGCTTTGGCTACGAGGACAGTCATTCGGTGCAGATCGGTGACATTGCCAAGGATATTATGTTGGGCTGCTCTCGAGCGGAAACAGCTGCAGCGGAAGATTCTGCCGGCGATCAGGCAGAGATTGATCTCAACGAGGATGATCTCGATGGGGTTGGCGATGGCAATGTCAGCCTGACCAACACAAGCAACAGCAGCAGCAGTCAAACTGGGATTGAGGATGAGGATGATGCCGATGTGGATGTGGATGGCAGTGGGGATGTCTCTGATACCGAGCCGGATGTGAAGCCCACACTCAACGAGTTGAATGCACGCGTCTTGCAACCTCTGCCGTTGCCACAGTTGGTGCGTCTGCCACAAGTGCCGCCGGGCACCTCACGCAAGGTGCTGCTGGCCACACCAATTCTGCCGCCTGGCACGCCACCTGGCGGTGCTCAGACCATGACCATAATACCGCTGGCAACGCTAGCGCAGAGCATAACCCAAAGACCGGGGCTGCAGCCGAAGCCGCTGCCCATGCTGGACATAAAGCAGGAGATCAAAACGGAGCCAGAGGAGGAGCAGGCTGGGGAGGAGGAGCAGCGGCAGGTAGAGGAGGACGAGCAGGAGCAGCCTCAAGCACAGTTGGAGGCGACGCCGGAACAGGAGGAGCAGATGTCCAGGGAGCAACAGCCAGCTACTGTTGAGCAGCCTGCAGTGACCATTAAACAGGAGTTGGACAGCGAAGGGGAGCTTCTCGATGGGGATGATTTCGATGACGATGACAATGGCGGGCGTTCGAGTGTCACATCCCTGGCGGAGATCCTGGCCGCCAATGTGGACGATGAGAAACAGTATATCGAGCAGACGCGCGCCTTGCGCCAACTGAAACGGAGTCTCAGCCCAAGTCCGACCAATGCCACGCCCCCAACTCTGTTGCCGCCCATGCCGACGCTGACAAAGGCGCCGCAGTCGCAGCCGGTGACAGCAAAACGTCAGCGGCAACACGATGACAACAACAACAATGGTACGGGTGTGGGAGAGGGGGGAGTTGGTGGAGTCACCGGCCTGCAATCGATAATCAGCTGTGCCGAGGCACGTCAGTACCTGAAGCAACTGGAGGAGTTTGCCCTGTCTAAGGAAAACTATCGACTGATTGAATTAATAACGCGAGCCGATGAAGTCATGCGAGAACTGGCCGATGAATAGAATTGATTGCCATCTGCTATTCTTAATTAAGTTTGTAGCTAACCACCCCTCCTCCCCACTCCATCTCGAAGATGCAATCAATCATAGAATATCTATATTTTTAATTTGTACTCTAAATGTTTTTAAATATTTAATTTGTACCATGTACCAAAATACAAACCAAATTTAGTAAACTAGAAAGTGCATTTGGCTAGTCGGCAATAGATGGCGCCTTCGCTTAGTGCGCATGTCTGCCCTTAGCTGGTAGACGGCGCTGGTGTTACTGCTGCTGCTGCTGTTGTAATTGTTGTCACCGGTGTTGCCATTCTCTCGCATTCGCTCACTGCGTCACTCCACCGAAACAGGCACAATTCATTCAATTTATATGTGGGTGGGTGGCAAATGCACGCAACTGACGCACAGGGTGGCATTGTATATAATGTATATAAATTACATAGATGTCTTAATTGCCCATCTTTTCGGTTTACAAATTTAATACGTATATGTATAATTTATTTCACAAACCATATCGAAGTCCCTTGCAATGCACAATCGCATTATGCATTCTGATGAAATTGTTTTGTGTGTCAAAGTAAATACATAAATACACACACAAATACACATGCATATGTACTTAATCATGGCGTAGGAAAACGTCAGAGGAATCAATCTCGTTGAGTGCGCATGTCTGCCCTTAGCTGTAAACTTTGGCTGGGCGACGACTTTCTGCTCTCCGCGTCGCACGTTACATGCTGCACACAAACACACATGCAAAAATGCACACAAATGAGTCGGGGCCATATGGCACAGGGTGGTTATGGTAGGTTATGGCGAGCCTATGTGAAATGCAACTTATTTATTATTTACTTTAAATACTTTACTTCAACTATGTAAACGTAGGCATTTTATATATTTTACCATAGATATACACAGTCATAAATAAATGTTCATTTATATAAATGTAGTACACGCACACTAATACATTTTCATGTGCGTGTTTTGATTGATGAACACTTGAAATACAACGCACAAACATAAATACCAAAATATATACATACACACACATACACATACATACAATGCCAGACATACCAAAATAAACGGAAAGCAAAGCAACGCAAACAATCAGTCTGACGCATACACACACACACACACAGACAGCGACACACACACAGAGACTAATCAATCAATCAATCGACAACAAGCAGCGCTCGCAGTCACACAACCACCAACATCGACATCATCAGTCTGTGATTGGCGTCGCCACGGCAAGGTTGTTCAAGCATACATGTATATATACCAAGGAGACGCCTATACGCATATAGGAAGCCAATAGGTAACTAAATCAGACTAAAAAGCATTTTGAATTTCGTTATAGCATTTTAATAATATTAATTTTTAATAGTTTGCGCAAAAGTTGCCCATCTGTTAGCTAACACAGCTCTGTTATCGCCAAACAGCGTGAAGTTGGCCGCAGCACAATGGCGGCGATGCCAGATAGTTTTATTGCTGGCAAGCGACAGTTTTGGCGCGAGTTTTTAAAACTCTACCAGCAAATGCCGGAGCTGTGGGAAGTCAATCATGCGGACTACAGAAACAAGGAATTACGTAACGAATCCTACGAAATACTACAGAATAAGTTGCGTGAAATCCAGCCAAATGCAACGAAAAGCGATGTTGGTCGTCGTATCAACATTTTTCGCACGAATTACAGGCGAGAACAGATGCGGATTTGGAAACAACACGAATTGGGTCTGCATTCGGATTTGTGCAAACCGACGCTTTGGTTCTACGACAATATGAGTTTCCTGCTATCGCAAGAGTCCTTCCAGCACAGATCGAAACGGATGCGTGGCAGGCCCAGCCTCAGGGGCAGATCCTCAATGAAAGGCCTTTCAAAAGATGTAAGTTTTGCATTTGGGATTTGTGTAAAGCACTTTATCGATTGTCTCTGCTTTTCTCAAGGTTCAGGTTAAGTTGGATCAGTTAAACACGGCCACAACAATAACAGCCTTACCACCAGCAACAACAGGATCAACGACGATGCCTGCAAATGATAGTTCCGAGGCTTCTGTATCTGTGTTAAACGAAAGTTTTCTAATCAGTCCTAAGATTGAGATATTCGATAATGAGTTGCCCGAAATAGATGCGGAAAGAACTGAAATTAAGGTGGATAATGCCGATACGAGTGCATCTGAATTCAATGAGCCATCCGGCTCGAATAACTCCACGACAAATGGAACAATTGTGACTGCTATAAATGGTGCTGCCTATCAGCAATCGACGCCAATGTTGAGTGAATCCTCCGAAGCAATTGCCAAATCCTGGGCCATTCAGTACGAGGAAATGGCGCCAACGCAACGCATTTTTGCCCGTAAGGCGATCGCCGATATCCTATTCGATGGCTGCATGGGCAATTTACGCATTAATCGCATCAAAGTACGAAGTTCCAATGGCAATCAATCATAAGAAATACATTATTTGATATGCATAAGCTTAAACCTAAACTTAAACTTAAACTTAAACTATATATTAATTCAGCCTTTTATTGTATTCTGGGCAATGCTGAGTTGAAGCTGCATGGGTTAATTTTCTATATATTTAGAAATATATTGAATAGCAACAAGAGCAACAGGAAAAAATTCAAAGTACGATCTGTTTATGCAACATCTCAACTTAATTGAAGATGGACAGCTTTTTTAATTAGCATAGTTATTAATCAAATTAGTTACTGAAATTGCAGCAAATTTGTTGCGTTAAATTTCGCCTAAGCTGCAAGCCGACCCATAATAAAAAGCGAAATGAAAAATCTTAATTAGCAGCCGGCGCATGTTTGTGTTGTGTGTGTTGTATTAGCAGCTGTGTGTGTTGTGGTTGTTGTTGTTGCTGTTGGCCACCCGTTTGTGGAGCTGGGGCCACCGCCCATCCGGTGATGCACTTAACGCGTTTGCAAATGATTTGAGCAGCTGTTGCCACTGCCAGTGCACCTGTGCCTGTTGCATGCTGTATGTGGCATGTTGCCGGTTGCCTGCCGTTGAATGAATGCCGCCTGTTTTGCCATTTTAACATGTAATTTTGCTTGGCCCAACCGCATGGAAAAATTCAAATCACTGTGACTATGACGGGGGCTGAGAACTGGGTGCTCCTACGTGCTGCAAGCTGTAAGCTGGGAGCTGCGATCGGAGGAAATGTGGCTGAGAGCCTAAGCCGCTGTAGCATTTTGCACCTGTCGCCCTACGCATGTGAAAATCAAGCGCAGCTTTAATTGATACAACAACAGCTAAAAACTACAAGCCAGGGGCGTAGCCAAGCGGAGCGCATAGGGACAGGGGAATGCTCCCCTTGAGAGCTCATGCAATATCAGCTTTTTGCATGGTAAGTGATTTCACAGAAAAACTCTCGTTTTGTATTTTCTATCTTAGTTTTGTACGTGATACTCGCAGAGTTTTTAACTTAGTTTTTAACTTTAGATAATATTCACTTTGGGATAGCTGCTTGAATATATAAATGAAAGTCCCACAGAGTAAGAGAAGGATGTCTTGCCTTTGCCCCCTCGTAGCTGTTAAAACCCTGACAACACCCATGGCAGCAGCAGTAGGCGCAAGAAGGGGGCCAAAACAGGGCTGACTTCTCTCGTCTAGTTGCACGTGTTGCACTGGGAACGGGGCAGCAACTAGGACTGGGACTGGGACTAGGTCTGCGGCTGAGACTAGGTTGTAACTGCAACATAGAGTCGCGGCAAAAATGTTGTAAAAAATGCGTTGAGCTGCGCAGCTGCCAGGCTGTAGGCTGCATGGGGGAAAAGTGAGCCCTTGACAACAACAACAACACCAGCAACAGCAGCAGCAACAGCAACAGCAAAAGTTTGCAGCCTTAAATGGGCATTGAAATTAAATGCAGCTGCTTTAATGATGCTGCACTTGGTGGCAGGCAGGCAGGCAGACAGAAGGGGGTGGGTAGGGGGAGGGGTGTGCGGGTTGCGTATCAAAATGGCCTAAACAAATCTGGGAATATGGCACAAAGACGGCTGTTTGCCGGTGGGCGTTGCATGTGGCAGTTGTTGCTGGGGCGTGGCGCCACAAAATGAAATGAAATGCTGAGCGTTGCAAGAGCGACTGTGCCGGTGGCCGTAACGCTTGCAACAACCTGGTGGGCGCCAGTTAACAAAGAAAAACAACAACAACAACAACGGCAACAACAACTTTGCCTTTTTGGGACGTTTAATGGGAGTTGCCGTTGCCTTTTTTGGTGCAACGAAATCAAGCAACAAAAATCTTAAATCGCAAAAATTTTTGTTGCTGTTGTTGCAGTTGTTGCTGTTGCTGTTGCACTGATGATGATGTTGTTTGCTCAAGTTAATGCATAAAAATAAATACGTTTTATGTGCCGATTTGAAATGCAATGCAGCAAGAACCAAAAATCGCAATAAAACGAAAGACTTAGGCAACGAACTTGTTGCTGATGTTAGCAATTTGAGATGCTCCGCGCAATCCCTTCTGCCACGACTCCAAATCCGTTCAACATTCACCACAAAACTGACTGCAATTGAGCTGTACACTTTGCCCGATCTAAACGGCCAACAACTGTGTTTGGCCCGTACTGAGTTCAGTTGCCGTTGCTAGAGATTTTGATTGCCTAACTTAATGAGATAAATTTCCAATTTGTACACTCAGCAAAATGAAAGAAAAAGAAAATAGAGAAGCTTATGTGGATCAAGTACCAGCAGTGACATGGCGAGTTCCCAGATTGATTAAAGATTATTTATTTCTATCAAAATTCTCACTTGGATTTGGATATTGTGTTACAAGAACTCAAGTTCTGAAAGCAAAAATACAACCAAATCAGTTTGAATTGAAGTTCTTCAAAATTTCAAAGATAAGTAACTACAAGTATAAGAAAACAGTCATCCTTCAAGTCATTCAGTCTTCGCTAGAGCATTCTTTGTTTTGAACTTGTTCTGGCAATTTGAAAATTTCTGCACAAATTACCAGTGAACCTGAAGAAGAATAAGACGAAGTAGAATCAAAAGCAGCAGCAGCTACCTGGCTGTCTGAATGTCTGCTTTCGTTGAAGCTAATTGAACTCATTAGTTCTGAGAGCTTATTAAGAGGCAATCAGAACACAAGTTAAGAGCAGCCAAAAGCCGAACAAGTTGAAAGTTTCATCAAGACAGCTTTAAGATAGATTGATAGATATCGCATAGACTCGACTAGTGATGTACATAAAGAATACACTATATATGAGTATAGAAACGCCCTTGACTCAAACATTTACTACCAAATTTATGCAACATTTACAAACAGTTTTGCAGTATTAAGTACAACACTAAAGAATCCCATCCCACTGGCATTTAACATTCGAGTTCATTGCAGTTGAATTGGCTACAATGACAGGCTGTGTAAACAAGTCACAAATAAACAATAACAAATTGCGTTTCTCACACACATGCGGCACGCGTCTGTGGCATTGTCGACAATGAAGTCACCCCTAAAAGCGCTGCTGGCCACACTCAGGTGTTTGGCTTTGTTAAGGGTTGCAATTGCTGTTGCTGTTGCTTCACACAGAAACACAGACAAACACATAAAAATCACACGAGAACTTGCCCAGTTGTTGGCAATTGTCCCTGGGAAGCGGACAGCGACAGAGACTCAGAATCAAAAACTCATCACGGGGTGAGCCTCATGTGAACTGTCGCTGGGTACTGGCTATTGGCAGCGGGTGGACTGGGGAGGGGATTTTCAAATTGCTGGTCGTCCGCTAATAAGACTGGGAATATCAAAAAAACACGCACTCAGTCGTCCGCTCTTCGCTGCGCTCCTCTCTGGAATGTGGGCGCGCAGACGCGACGCGTTTGGCGTGACGAATAATGTGAGAGTGAGAACTTTATTAAAGCAACGCTCTGCGATTTGTATCATGCCCTGCACACAGCAGCGCGGAAGGGGTTTATTAAGCCTGAGCTATTATGCTATCATATACAATGTGGCATTTGTTTAAATCTGTTGTGCTCTTTTTGTGACAATGTGGGAATTTGGGGGGAGTAAGCGAGCTAGATAGTTTGTTTAAATTGATTAAATGGTTCTTATATGATGCAATATTCATTTTATTAGTATATCTGTTCTCAAGACTCGCTAACTATTTATTAAAATTAATATTTACATACTCAAACTAAAGAACAACATAATAATTAGTTTTCTTTACGATTAACATTTATGTTTGCAACTATAATGGATATAAACTTGTCTCTTCTCTACAGGGTATCTTGGTGTCACATATACTCCATTAAAAAGTCTTGTTATTTAGCTGGCTTTACATTGTCGAAAATTCTTCGTCTTGTTGCACATTTGGAGCATTCTGAAAATTGCTGAAATGCTTTTCACACGGACAGCCTGTGAGAAAGCGCAACGTGGGACTGTGAAAATGTGAAAACGAAATCGAAGAGCAAACGAAAAGAACTCTTGAACCGTTCACACACATACGAACACACACACACAACTACACCCACACACCTGTGACTAGCTGTGCGTGTATATGTTAATGAATTGTCCACTCAGCTTTTAGTTTTGGGGACCTGTGCTGCTAAATGGACAATACAGTTAAAAATTAAAGCATAAGACCCATAAAAGTTGACATGCTGATCGCCCAATTTAACAGCAGCTGAAAAAATTTAATCCTGCCAAAAAAAAAATAAACAAAAAAAGAGAACACAATAAAAAAAACCTATGCGTTAATTAACCACATAAAAAAGGATACGGCGCCTTTTGATTTTTTGGGCGAAACTTTAATGGGCAATTTTAAGACTGCAGCTAAGCAAGGGCAAAACTCAAAACTTGGCTCATTTTTATTATGGGCCGGCGACACCTTTTAAGAGCGCCAATCGAATCAATGTTTTAACACGAGAATACCATTTCCAAAACGGGCTCATTAAGCACTGCCGAATAACCCAAAAAACAAAAACAACACAACAAAAAAATAAATAAAAAGATCAACAAAACAACCTAAAAATATATATAAAAGGATTGCTGCAAATTCTACGAATGCTGGGCAATTTTTTGTGCGGCAGCTGCAAAAAAGGGAATTGAAAAATTGGAATTGGAATTCATATTCATTTGATTTCACAATGCTGCGAAAGTGAAACCAAGACATGCAACACACACAAACACACAGCCTGCAGGTGAATGTGGCACATCAGCAAAATGGGCTCGTTGCCCAAAAAAAAAAAAACAAAACACAAAAACAAAAAAAAAAACACTGACACACATCTCTTTTTTTATTATACCCTGTTCATTAAGAATTAGCTGGGAGTGGGTATCCATAAAGTTGGGCAATGTGCAGCAGGAGAAATCTGTAGGTTTTATATTTTATACTCACAATAAGAATATATCAGCTTAATCCATAACATCTCGATTAATATCAATGTAAGACTCTAGTTGACCTATTTACATAATCAAACATTTCAATGGCAACCTCCCATCCTCACATAGTCTAGGGCATAGTGAGGAAGAATCCCAAACAATATCACAGCCATGTCAC